TCTGTCACCTCATATCGGTTTCCTCGAATGAAGTGACAAGTTTCCTGTTTTAAATTTAAAAAATGTACTCCTAGATCAGACCTCATAAACATTGAATGAATTAAAAAGAATTTTCTTTATTACTTTCTAAAAACTGTTCACAGTTGGATTTGTATCTAATTGGGGATTTCCCCTCCATAATTATCGCTGATGTAGAATCACACTTTGTAACAAGTGTTTCATTTGTCCTTTCAAAGCTTAAGGTTGATTTAAAAGGCGGAGAGACCAGTATAGGAAGGGTTCTTCACTGACTTACTCCCCAGGTGGCCCTGACAGCTGGAGGTAGTCTGGTTCCAAGCCAGGAACCTGGAACTCCGTCTGGGTCTCCTACATAGATAACACGAGTAAAGGACTTGGGCCATTTTGTGTTCCTTTTCCAGGTGCCCAAGACAATGTTAGGAGCCAGGAACTGCAGCTGGGTCTTCCTGCAGGCCATCAGCTGCTGCCTTGCTTTGGTGTATTAGCAAGGAATTGAATTGGAAACAGAGCAGCAAGGATTCAGACCGCACTCTGCTGTGGGATATGATGGCTTAACCTCGCTGTGCCATGGTCCTGGCACCCTGTGTTTGTCTTAATGTTAAGCATATCTATAGCACCGACTTCTCTGTTCCTTGTAGTTTCTAAGGCAAGCATGAAAAAAATAGGAGTTAATCTGTATAATTATCTCCTAAAATAGAAGGGATAAATAATAGCCTTTAATAGTTTATACAGTAGGAAATAGGTTCAGTGAATCATTTAGAGCCCAAATTACTATATTCCTGACTAAATCATGTTTTTCCAAATTTTAAAATGCTATGGAACCCAAGTAATCCTTAATGAATCACTCGTAGCAGATGTAGCTATGAAGTAATTTGCTTGTATGCATGCATAACAGGTTGTGATTGTTTTTTTGATATTTTTGAAGATTTTTCCAGCTTTAGAACATTTAAAAGTCACTGCATATTTCTTCTAGAGTTTTCTTTTACCTTACAGTCAGGGTATTTTTAACATATTTATTTTTATTAGAAAGCCATATACACACAGAGATGGAAAGACCTTCCCTCTGCTGGTTCACTCCCTAAGTGGCTTCAACATCTAGAGCTGAGTAGAGGAGGAGCCAGGAGCTTCTGCCAGGTTTCTCATGCAGGTGCACGTCCTCAGGCTTTGCTCTGTCCTCTACTGCTTTCCCAGGCCACAAGCAGTGGGCTGGATGGGAGGTGGAGCAGCCAGGATCCAAACTGGCGCCCATACGGGATCTTGGCATGAGCAGGACAAAGTTAGCCACTAGGCTGTTGCTCCAGGCCCATGAACACTCTTTAATAGAAGCAGGAATGATAAAGTATCAGTGATTATGTAGCTATTACGGCAAAAGTAATGAGAAGGATTCTGTGTTCTCTTCTATTCCCATTATGTTTCTTTTTCCTTTCTAGCCCCACTGACAGTTCCTTACTTTTAACCTGAGGACTCAGATTACATTATGCTTTCTTGCCAAGGAACTTGTCGCCTTTCTTACCAAGTCTTTTCCATTGCCTTCTTTCTTCTGCTCACCTTAGTAGAGACTAATAAATTCAGTTTAGGTCATTCTCCCTTCCTCCTAGCAGCCTTCTAAGGTGTTTACCCTTTTATTGTGTGTTTACAACCTGCTTATACCTTGAAAGTCATAGTTAGATTTCCAGAGATAATGGGAAAGAAAAATGTTCTATTTGTTGGTCACCTCCAAACTGGGCCACAATGGCCAGTTTAAGAAGTCCAAAGCTGCGAGCCACAAGCGCCTGAGTATTCCTTGTGGGTACAGGGTCCCAAGTGTATGTGGTCCATCCTCTGCTGCTTTCCCAGGCCACTAGAAGGGAAATGGATTGGAAGTAGAGCACCTGGAACTTGAAATTGCAGATAGAGGAATGGCTGGCTATATTGCCATGCCAGCACCCTGTAACTGACTTTTATCTGCTGTTAGGTCCGTGCGTTTTCCTGTATGACTACACTTTATGTTCCCATAGGGTAGACTCTTACCCAGTGCTTGACTAAGGAGCTAAATAAAAGGATCACTGGGGAAAAAGTGAGGGACCGAATAACATTCTTTCAAGTGTTGTGACAGATAAAACTCCATTTTATTTTGTAGAATTAAAAACAAACACCAGTTCTCTTTTCAGTTCATCTTTAGTGGAAAGAGGACAATACATGGTATTGCCACCTTTCATATCTACAAAATTTGGGTTCCTCTGTTTATGCTTTTGAGTAGCTAGCTTTCTGTTTTAATATCCAATTTCATTCTATGCTAAAGATGTGAAAGAATCCACAGTATTTTTTTCTTTTAAGATTTATTTTGTTTTGATTGGAAATACATACACAGAGAGGGGAGACAGAGGAAAAAACTTCCATCTGTTGATTCATTTCCCCAAGCGGCCACTTTGGCCGTAACTGAGCTGATCCAAAGCCAGGAGTCTTGAGCCTTTTCTGGGTCTCCAACGCAGGTGCAGGATCTGAAGTCTTTGGGCCATCCTCAACTGCTTTCCAAGGCTACAAGCAGGGAACTAGATCAGAAGCGGGGTGCCTGGTATTAGAACTGGTGCTCGTATGGGATCCTGGCACTTGCAGTGTGGCAACTTTAGCCACTAGGTTACTGCGTGGCACCCCAAAATATTTTTTTAAGATATATTTTTAATTTTTTATCAGAAAGTTAGTTGCACAAAGAGGAAGAGAGAATCGTCTGTCTTCTGATTCGCTCTCCAAATGGCTGTAATGGCTAGAGATGGGCTGCAAGTGGATCATCTGTGTCTCTAAACCACTCAATCAGGAAGGTTTCTTAATCCAAGACACCACAATGCTGGGCCCAAGGTTGTATTTTTATCCCAGAAAAGTTAATATATTCATAGGGGATGAATTACTGAAATGCAGAAAGATTAAAACTGCTGAGCAGGTAAAAATGGGTGGCTTCTTCAGGCAATGTGAAGAACTGGCTACACCCAGAGGCATGGATATTTAATCCTAATGTATGGCATATGGTACTGACAGGCTGTGAACATTGATGTTTGTTCTCTGAGTATTATTCCTATTTGGTGGAGATGCTGGAGATTTAAAAACTTAAAAGAAATTATCAAATGGAAATAGTTGGCACATGCTGGACCAGCTTCTACTTGGGGGCCTGCATGGAGTGAGATCAGTTACTTTATCAATTCTATCATACACAAGCAGGATGAGAACCTACTGGAGTGGATACTTCTTCTGCCTAAGGGAGGAAAGAAAAAGTAGCATGTATTCAAGAAGGAGGTTGTAGGATAGACACAAGGAAATTTTTATAATTGTCCCTGAATGTAAGCTGAAAAGCGGGGGATAAAAGGCAAGGATGAATTGAGATAAGACGAAATGAAAAGTTAAGAACAAAGTCTTATGGAACTGATGGTTCTCTGGGTACTAGGGGAAATGACCTGGAAAGAAAGTTCACCTCATTTGATATAATAACATTGTTAAGAAAGCCAGGGTTGTGGTGTAATGGGTAAAGACACTGCTTACAATGCTGGCCTTCCATATCTAAGAGCTAGTTGAGGTCCAGTTGCTCTTCATTCAATCCAGCTTCCTGTTCATATGCCTAGTAAGGCAATGGATGTTGACCCGCACGACTTGGGAGACCTGGATGGTATTCTAGTCCAGCCTTAAAGCTGGCCCAGGCTTGACTGTTGTGACCATCTGGGAAGTTAACCTGTGGGTGGTAAATTGTCCATATCTATGCCCTTCACATAATAGCTAAATCTTAAAGAATTTGGCAGTACAAACTCATCTGGCATTGTAAATATGACAGGAGTAGCAGTAGAGATTGTGATTGTAAGCCAATGATAGAGAACTTCAAGCACTGAAAGAGAATGAGTAAAACTTTTGAAGATTACAGTGTGTAGATAGTAACATGATGTATGACTACGTGATATTGAAAGCTAGATGTTGTTAGGAGGGATGGAACTGCAATGTTGAGCTTTAATGTGGGTCTTGCTGTCCATTTTCTTAGAGATGATTTGGTAATCTGGGTAATTCAGTACCCCACATGTCCAAATTCTGAATCCTTTTTTAAAGGAGTGGTTAAATTAAAATAGCACGAAGATAACATTTTAAAAAGTTGTATTTTATAATAGGATCCAGTGTGCCATCTGTGCCATCTGTGATTTCAACAGCCAATATTGAAGAGCTAGCCCTAGTCCCACTTACTGTTCCACTTCTGTTCTAAATCCCTGCAAATGCACATAGGAAAGTAGCAAAAAATGATCCAAATACCTGACCCTCTGCCACCCTTAGAAGAACACTGAATGAAGTTTCAGGCTCCTGACTTCACCCTGCCCTAGTTCTGGTTGTGGCAGTGGGAGTTAAACCAAGACATGGAAGAGATGTGTCTCTGCCTGTCTGTATGTCATGCTGCCATTCTGATAAAACAAGTTAATCTTTTAAAAAGTGTTTTTTATAAATTTGAATTGATATTTCTATATAAAGGTTTTTTAATTGAGAAAATTCATTTTAACCTGTTACATTATATTTTCCAGTTTGGTGTCCATTAATGTAACTGATTTAGTCACACTTAAAGGATGGTTGTCTTGGGAAGAAAATGTATGTCTATATATATATTAATATTATGTGTTTGCATCAGAGACTTAGAATGTTGGTTATTTGATTTGAAAGAGGAGAGCTCCCATCTACTGTTTTCACCTGAGATGCCCACAGCATCCTCTTGGTGAGGCTTAAGCCAGGTGCCAAGTGTCCCACATGTGTTGTGGGATCCAAGCACCAAGTCCTTGCTGCCTCGCAGGGTGAGGATTAGCAGCAAGTTGTAATCAAGACCCTTAGCTGGGTTTTGAAGCCAGCCATGCCCATGTGGTTACACAGATGTTGCATCTATGTAACTGCTAAACTAAACACACACCACCCAGGCAATGTTTTTGCATTTTCACTGGACACTTAATTTATTTTCCTGATAGATGCTGATGTTCCTTTGTCTCTTGTAGATTACATACCGGTTACGGCACCTCCTTCGTGCCAGGTGTGATGCTTCCCCAGTGACCAACAACACCATCCAGTTTCACTGTGATCCTAGTTTCTGGGCTCAAAATATTATCAACTTAGGTATGCAATTATTTTTTCTTTTTATTAAAAATGTTTTCTTTTTAGGTATGCGATTATTATTTTCTCAATTGTGGAAATCAGAGCAATTAATATCATGTTATTGAAAATAGACATTCCCTTTCATCCCCAGTGTTGTTTTTGTTTTAAAGACATGTAAATGTAAGATTAGTTCTATATGGGAGCACATTATTGCCTGTCTGTTATTCTTATAGGATTTTTACAATATTTGCTTACAATTCCGTTTCTTCTGTTAGTGGTTTACTTATCTTCTGGCACCTGATTAAGTTTTTATCTTGTTTAAGCAAAACAGTTTGCTTGGCTAGATAGTTTTACATTTATAGCTAGATATACTAATATAGTGTTCAAGGCAGATGTGACAGTTCACTGAATGATTGTAGGTTACTGTGTGGTAATATTGGGAGCTAACACGTTGCAAGCAGTTGACTTGAAAGTTGTTTCTTGAGCTTTTGGTTATACTACTTGTTGAATACAAAATCAATTGGCATTCTTTCTTTTTAAGATTTATTTTTATTGGGAAGGCAGATTTACAGAGAGAAGTTGGTTTTCTCCCCAAATGGCTACAACAGCCAGAACTAAGCCAGTCTGAAACCATGAGCCAGTTCCTTTGGGAGTCCATCTTTAGTCTGGAAGTAGAGATGCATACTGCATTGTATCCTCACATCTGCATATGATAGTCTCCATTACAGTTATTATACATCCCCCTAAATGAAAAGCTATAATACAAAATCAACAACAGGAAAAAAATAGAAATTTACAGTGCCCTGAAGTTAAATAACCTGCTGGATATGATAGTCTCCATTACACAGTTACTTTACATCCCCTAAAATGAAAAGCCACAAAACATAATCAACAACAGAAAGCAAAGAAGAATTTAAAATGTCATGATGTTAAATAACATGCTATTGAATGACTAATGTGTAGCTGAAGAAATAAAATCAAGAACCTTCTTGAAAATGATGCTTCTGTGTGATGTATGAGTCAGTGAAGAATGTAAGGAGAGAGTGTTTTGAAGAGATGAAAATAAAAAAAAATCAAAATCCATGAGATAAGTTTCTGCTTTGTTGGTGAGACATGTCTTTTGTAGGAAACAAATAGATGGGGTTTTGTCTTTTTAATTCATTCTACTAAATATGATGTTTGATTTTAAGCCGTTTACATTCAGAGTGAATATGAATGGGTGGTAATTTGGTCCCGTCATTTTAGCAATGGGTTATTAATTGATTTAGTCTTCTGTTGTCATTTCACTGGGATGTTCTTCACATTTGCCTTTGGTTTTGGTGGGTGCTATTCCTCTTCTGTCAAGAGAACATCTTTTAGTATCATTCATAGGGCAGGTTTCAAAGAGGCATATTTTTGCTTTACTGTGGAAATTTTTTATTTCGTTTTCAGAAACAAAGGAAAGCTTTGTTGAGTATGTTCTGGGCCAACAGTTTTTTACTTTTAGAATCTGGAATATGTCACTCCATTCTCTTCTGGGCTGTAGATTTTCCTGTGAGAAGTCTCCTGTGAATTTAATTTTCATTCCTTTATTTGTCAATTGAGTTTTTTCCCACACATCTGCATTTCAGGATATTTTCCTTGTGTTCTATTGAGGCAAGGTAGATTATCCTGTGTCATGGTGAAGATCAGTTTTGGTATACCCTATTGGGTGTTCTGTGTCCCTCCTGGATGTTGTTTCCCATTTCTTTCTCTAGGATAGGAAAATTTTCCCTTATTATTTCGTTGAATACACCTTTAATCCCAGTTTCTCTTTCTGCACCTTCTGGGACTCCCATAACTCTTACATTTGACCTTTTCATAGTGTCTTTCAATTCTTGAATACTTTTTTTTAGCTTGACCCAGCTCTGCTTCCCGGTTTTTGTTTCCCCCTGGTGACTGACAGGCAATATCTTTCAGTTCTGTGATTCTTTCTTCTGCTTGCTGCATTCCATTTTGGAGCCTCTCCATGGTACTTTTAATTTGCTCCACTATATCCTTCATTTCTGATATATCGGCTTGCATTTGCTTCATTTCCTGTGTGACATGTTCCTTAGATTTCCCCATTTTCTTGTATCCCCATTTTCTCTGTCTTCCTCAGTGAACTCTGAGGTTGGCAAAGGGTTTTGCGGTTTTGCAGTTGAGTCTTTAGTAATATTCCTTGTGCCTTTGTCTCTTGTTTTGCTCTTGGTCATTCTACTTCTCGTTCTCAGATTCTCCTCAGAGCAGGTTTTTAAGCTGTGTCTCCCATAGGTCTACAGTTTGATTTTACTTATTGTGGTTGTACATGGCTCTTTGCAGTCACTTGTGCCACTCCCTCTAGTGAGTTCCAGGTCTGGGTTTTTATGTTAGATGTTCACCATAGTCTCTGTAGCTCTATCTCCTGGCTCACCAGTCTCTACCTCTTGTGTTAGAGCAGTTCCTGGGATTAGGGAACAGGTACTCTATATAGCTAGGTTGTTGGTGGTGCTAATGTTACTGGAACCTGCTGTTAGGTCTGAGAGCCACACAGGCCTGTTTTGATCTATATGATGCCAAAGTTGGTATTGTTTTTCTTTGGGACCAGTTCAGTGCACTGAGCTCAGTGAGTTCGCTCCCATCTCAGCGCATATGCAGCTCACTGTTGTCTCTGCAGTCTTAAAGCATTTGCCACACTGTACCAAAATATTGCTTGACGTGCCACTACTAGAGTTCTTGATCTGCTGGCTGTTAGGTCTGAGGGCTATCTGGGCCTATCCTGGGTAGAACTGGTAGGATGCCATGTTGTTGCAGTTCAGTGAGCCAGAAATGTGTTAACTCCCAGCTCAGTGCTTGTGCTGTCCTGTTCCAGTTCAGGTCTCCACTTCCTGATTGTCGCTGGGATATAGTTCACTGCAACACCACACCACCATTGTTTTTGCTGATTTTCTGTGTGTCAGTCTCCAAGTGCCCCTCTGCTGTCTTTCTTCCTCTCCTATTTTCTGTAGTGTGCCTCCTTTGCTTCATACTGTTTAAATGTGTCCTTACCCTATTCCGCCATCTTGATTCTTTGGGTTTCTCTTTTAAAGAGTGACATGTCTTAGCAGTTCTGATTTACTTACAAATTATCTGTACAAAATATGCTGTTTTAGCAACTACCCAAATGCTTTGTCCCTAACCATGTTCTCTTTGATTAGGTTCTTTAGTAATCGAGGATAAAGACAGCCAGCCGCAAATGCCTAAGCAGAATCCAATCGTGGAACAGAATTCCCAGCCCTCAGGTGGCTTATCTTCCAACCAGTTATCCAAGTTTCCAACACAGATCAGCCTAGCTCAATTACGACTCCAGCATATGCAGCAACAGGTAATGGCTCAGAGGCAACAGGTGCAACGGAGGCCAGCACCTGTGGGTTTACCAAACCCTAGAATGCAGGGGCCCATCCAGCAGGGGCCCATCCAGCAGCCTTCCATCTCTCATCAGGTAAATTCGGAAGTAGGCCTGTCCTAAGTTGGATAATGATAGTGTAACTCTGTTCAACAGCTCTTGGAATAACCAAGGCATCCATGATCCATGCTTTACATTTATGAATTTATAATCGTCTATCACTGGGAAATACTTAGTGACAGTTAATAGATACTATGTGCAAAGCATTATTTATCAAAGTAATGACAATAGAAGTGAACACTGAACCTTTAGTCTTTATCTTGTTTTTAGTAGAGAAAGTTGAGCACAATAATCAACATAATGTATTATTTCTGTTATACAGTCTTTTTCTACTTAAAAATTATATAATTTGGAGATCTAATGGTTGTTGCCTCACATTGTGTTCTTTCCTGTTTATTTTCCATGATTAAAACTTCCTTCACCCTCTGTTTTATCTCCTCTCTGCCAAATTCTTGCTTAGAAAATTTAGCTTGTCAGTTTCTACACTGTTCTGCTCCTCTGTTCTTAGTTTTTAAACCATTTATTTGGCTGTACAGGTTAAAAAATGCTTGTCCATAAGCAGAGTATCTCAGGCTCTGTGGCCATGTTCAAATCAAAATCCACATATCCCCATAAGACTGCCTCTCCAAAGCACTGAAATTTCTTTAGCTGTGTCATCTGCATGGCTAGATCGGTGACAATGTCTGTTTATATGACTGACACGCACTCTTCAGTACACTCCCGTGAACAGAAGCAAGTGTGTCACACAGCACTGTCATGTCATTTTATGCAGGATTTACAGTAGCAGTTCTCGCTGCAGTAACAGCAGTTTAACCTCGGCATCATTCCTCTATTCTGATTTATTAGTTCAGTTTTCCTTCTGTACTTTGCAAAGTAATGACACTGTTCCACCCGAATAGTACTGGTTTTTGGCATTTCTTGAGGGATATAACTAGTTCCTAATTTTATTATTTTTTTTCCCACGCTGCTCGTTACAGGAGCTTTTGTAAATTAACTCAATCAACTCCAACAGTTTAGGAGCAGGGGGGAAATCAGCCCTCATCTTGTGTGACTGTGAGCTCCCTAGTGACAGGATTGACATTTAAGTCCTACGAATTTCTTACATGCCACAGCACAGCACATGCTGCCACATGCTATTAGGCTGTTGGAGGCAAAAGACTTAAATACATTTCTGCTCCATTAAAGACCATTTTGTATACTTTTATGCTTATAAAAATGTTTTTATAAATTTAGAAGTGTTGCACTATTTCCACTGTTTAACTGTTTTCTGTGATAAAACCCTTCATGTCACACAGCTTTTGGCGCTGGGTCCATGTTTGCACTAAAGTGTAAACATCTTAGTATTTTTGTTGAGATTCTAGTAGTTTTGTGTAATGTTACTCTTCAGTTACATTGTTAGAAACATTATGCAAATTTGCTTTTCACTAGATCTGTAGTTGTTGGCCACTCTTAAGTTAATGAGTGAACTTGGTGCAAACCAATTTATGAAAGAGGAAGAAAGAAGCAATTAACCTGAAACAGTGGAGTAAATTCCACAGATAGGATGAGTGAAAGACAAAACAAGGGCAGGCTGCTCTTTATAAATGTCTGCTTTCACTTTGGTGGAGGTGCTTGTTTGGGAATGTGAGAGGGAATAAAGCCCTCTGAGTTCTGGTTATTCACATTCATGGTACCCTTAGAATATGAGTTCCAGCCTCCTGGCTCTTTTATCTTGCCCAGCCACAGCTGTTGGACATTTGTGGGTCACTAGTGGATAAAATTTTTCTGTGTTTATACATTCAAAAAGAAAAAAAGAATACAGACTTCAGAGGCAGATTTCTTGTGCAAATCTGAGCTTCATCAGTATTGTCTTAATGTTGGACAAGTTACTTTGATTATCTAAAGATTCATGAGTGAATACACATGAAACATTTAAAGAAGTATTGGGCATTTAATAACTGTTCAGTAAATGTTAGTTGTTATTCTATGATTACTTTAGAGGGCTGCAAGAGGGCAGTTCTTTGCCAAAGATAATCATCCAGGGCTTGGCAGGATAGCAAAGACAAAATATACCCATTTCCCAACATGGCCTAGGTCTAACTGTGGTATAGCCTATGAAAAGTGTAGCCGCCTCCCCTCATGCCTGGGCAGGATACCCTGCCCATCCCCTTGGTTTTCTGTAATGCTGTTTTTGTGGGGTTTTTTTGTTTGTTGTTTTGTTTTTTTAGATTGTGCACACAAATTCTAGAGATCTGTGCATTCCCCTATATTCCGCAATACCTTTTTGTAATCTTAATGTTTATTCATGACAGAGTTTCTGCCTTGCTGCAGTAGTTTTATAAATTTTGTGTCTCTGTGATTTGCCTCTTAAGAAGGAATTGTCACTGAATTGAGTTAATTTCTTGTTTTCCAGCAACCTCCTCCACGTTTGATAAATTTTCAGAATCACAGCTCCAAACCCAATGGGCCAGTTCTTCCTCCTCATCCTCAGCAGCTGAGATATCCACCAAACCAGAATGTACCCCGGCAGACGATAAAGCCCAATCCCTTGCAGATGGCTTTCTTGGCTCAACAAGCAATAAAGCAGGTACATTCTTCCATCCTCCCCTTGCTTGCTTATTCCTCCTCTTGCCAGATCATGTTGCATATAGATTAGGCAGAAGGTATAAAGAGCAAGCTTTTCTTACTGACATGCATGTGAATCACCATGCTTATTACAGACAGAAATGTGGAAACAAATCTAAGAGAAGGTATCTTGATGCATTATGGGAATGTCCATAATAATCAGGTCATGGTAGTCATTTTGCAGCACTGGTGTTTCTATTTTATAGGTGAGTACATGAACTTTCCCAGGACTGAAAGATTCTAAGAACAAACTGCATTCCACAAATAGGGTATTGATGGGGTCTTTAACATGTTTCATGGGAACTTCATTCTTTGGGTAAACATTTTCTAGACTTTTTTTTTTAACCAAAAAAAATCATTAGAGAGATGAAAAACATATTAGAGAAAAACATATTAGACTGTTTTTGTTTTACTTTTTCCAGCAAGTCCCAAGTCAAGTAGATAATGTTATTTTCATAACTGTTTTTGATTTTTTTTCAAATCATTCGGACATTTTATTCTATACAAGTATGCTGTGTCTGAGTACATATGTCTGTATTTAGAAATTGCAGGGGCAAATGTTTGGCATAGCTCCTCGTATGCCACTTTCAGTACTCAGACATTGTGGCATCTGTTTTCAAGCCCAGGCTGTTTGCCTAATTTCAATTTCCTGCTAATTCTTACCCTTGGAGCCAGCAGCTGAGAACTTAAGTAGATGGGTCCCTGTCACCCAAATATGATACATGAATTGAGTTCCTGTCACCCTGTTTTAGCTTGGTCCAGACCTGGATGTTTTTGATTTTTGAGGTAGTGATCATCAAATGGAGATCTCTCTTTCTCCCTCTCTGTCTTTGAGATGAACACAAAATAGGGGTGGGTGATGAGCATAGCCGATAAAGTGCCACAGATGGTGTCCTTATCGGAGTGCAGGACTTAATTGAGTTCTACGTCCTTGGATGACAGCAGATAATTGCTCACATACTTGGGTCCCTGTCACTCATATGACAGACGTGCGTTGAGCGCATGCTTCTGTCTGGCTATACCTTAGCTATTGAATTGTTTAGGTAATGAACCAGTCCTCTCCCTGTTGGCCTCTGGCTCTCTGGCTTTCAGCTTTTCCAAGAAAAGAAAACCGTATTTTTAAGTAAAAGCAGAAACGATCCTCATCATATCCTACTCATTGTATGTACCTAAAGCATATTCTAATAGTTTGACATATTTCATTTTAGTGTGCGTGTTTCTTTAAATCACTTGGAGTACAAGATACCCAGCAGTTGAAACTAGTTATTTTTGGGAGACAAAAGGGCTGAGGATTATAGTGGATGAAACAAATGAGGGATAGGTGGAGTTAAAGTGACATTTCCATACAGCTTTGTGTTTTTGTATATAGTTTCAACAATGAAGCATATAACTTACATTTGAAAACTTTAAACCTTTGAGATAACTATGTGATGGGATCATCCATTTGTCTGTAAATGCAAGTGTATTTGGGGAAATGGTTTGGCCTGCATGTTTTTGCAACATTTAATAACTTTTCTTTTCCCATTGTGAAAACTTTCCAGTATAAAATAAAACTTGGAAAACTTGAATTTTCCTCTTTTAGCCTTATCCTGTGTAATTCATACCCGTTGATACAAGTTGGTTTTTCTATCTACACATCAAGCAATTATTTCTAATTTATTTTTGAAAAGGGTTATTTATAAGTTAGACACAGAAATATAAGGATTTTTCCATCCATTGGTTCACTTCCCAAATGTCTGCAATGATCAGGGCATGAGCCAGGATTGAGCCAGTAGCTATATCAGTGAGTGGCAGGTGTCTAAACACTTGGACCATTTTTCTATGGCTTTTCTCATGCCATGTATAGGACACTGGATCAGAAGTGTGGCATACCTCTGTGTACTGAAGCATGGGTAGTCTTAATGTGTAAGATCAATTTGTAATAAGAATGTACTCACATGTAATCTGTTCTGAAAAGTGGGAAAGAGAAGTCGCAGCTGATCTAGTTTCTTAATGGAGTGATTTGGACACAGTTCATTCCGTAGGATTCTGATTCTTTGTCTTCCATCCTCTGTAGTGGCAGATCAGCAGTGGACAGGGCACGCCGTCCACTGCCAGCAGCACGTCTTCCACTCCTTCTAGTCCTACCATCACTAGTGCAGCAGGGTATGATGGGAAGTCTTTTGGATCACCTATGATTGATCTGAGTTCATCAGTGGGTGGCACTTACAATCTTCCTTCACTTCCAGATGTAAGTATACACCAAATCTTTTGAACTCCTCTTTGGCAAATTGTCATCCAAAGCAAGCTATTGTGAAAGTCATCTGTTGCACCAAGAAATGCATGGAGTGGAGTGTAGAGTGCAAATTAATTCCCATAGTTCAATTTTCTTTATGTTGAAATCTAATAAATCCAATCCCCTCCTTACTTTCCACACTCTGAAAAGTATTGGAAATGATAATTGCAAAAATAATGTAAAACAAAATGATCCTGTACACTGGGTCTAGTTTTCAAATGATAGAGGACCCACTGAAATAAAAATTTCTCCTTTTGCATTTTCCTCCACAGTCATTATAGAAGTCATTATAGAAGTCATATGTTGCCTAACAGCTTTTCTCAACTGGAGTTCCTCCTCTGAATCACAGAATAAGGGAACTTATTTTTAGTAACTGTTGCTAGACTTCCCATGCATTCTTCATAATGGATACCATTATAGGTGCATAGGCCAGAAATTTTAATCATTGTGTAAGGTTGCACTCCTGGTTTCAGGTTTTAATTCTCTCATATAATCAATATTGAAAAAGGCTAGAACTGTTTTGAATTTCAGTGACTTCCAATCATAAAGACATTCAATAGAATTCTAATGTTCATACATAATTAGAATACTTCTTTCTAAAGAATTATGTTCTCATTAGAAATTTTCTCCTGTCAGGGAATAATGAGAACAGTGTTATTTGTATACATGTTTCATTAAAAAAGAGAATTTATGTACGAGACTGTCATTTAGTGAGGTTAGTGCTTCAGAAATGTGTAACTGAGGAGCCAGTTGATCTTGTGCTTCTCCAGGGCATCAGTCCTGGGCCCAGGACTTTGAGTTTCCTACAAGAGGTCTAGAATGGCCCACACGTTTTGTTCATATTCTTCATGCACATACTGAACGTAGAAGCAAACATAGCCATCCAGTTGGTTGCTCCTAAGGTAGATATTAGAGATTTTAAACCTAAATAACTGGACTATTCTCACTTAAGTTTTTTATTTTAATACAGCTACCATTTGTTATTTCTAAATGAAATAAGAAATCTTTTTAATTTTCTTGTGTGAATGACATGATACATCTTCCTACATACTCTAGATTTCTGAAATAATATGACTTCAGTATATTTATTGAGGAATGGAGCATTTAAAAATAAATTGAAAACTTTTACGTTGCTTATGAAAAAATCTTTGGGAATTCTATGTGAGATTAAAATATTTTCTTATTTGAAAGAAATTAAGTTATTGAAGCTTTCTTTAAAATGACTTTTGTAAAATCAAGATGTCCTGACATAGTTTATGTTCTGATTAATTTATTTTCTTATCAGATTGACTGTTCAAGTACTATAATGCTGGACAACATTGGAAGGAAAGATACTAGTATAGATTCTGGCCAACCCAGACCACCGTCAAACAGGACGGTGCAGTCACCGAATTCGTCAGTACCATCTCCAGGCCTTGCAGGTAAAATCAGGTTGGAACTTTTTTAGTTTTTCCTCATTAAAAAGCAGAATCCTTTTCTGCCCTTTTTCCTTTTATTCCTTTGATGGCTAGGATGTGTCTGAGTTCTTAGCACTATATTAAAATTGATATTATTTAGAAACTCGGAAGAAGTTAAAGTTCCTCACATTTTCAATCTGAATGTAACCTTAGAGATACTTCACTGCCAGAAGCAAATTAGTGTATTGTGTCTTTTATTCATGAACTTAGTTGCCAATGATAATGGTCTCTTTTAGGATGTGCTTTACCTAGAGGCACAATTCATTGGTAACAGTACACAAAGCATTCTTTAGTGGTTTTTTGTGGTGTTGAGTTGTGTTAAACATATTTTAACATGCCTGCTCATTTCCTGTGAGAAACACATCATTGCTGACAATCTTGTCAAAGTAGGTATCTTATGCTGGAATAAGAAAAGAGCTTGTTAAATCAGTTTTTATAGTTATATGGACATAAGGCAAAACCAGAATTTTAAAGCATTCCAATAAATAAGGAGTAAGTCGGTACTACCAAGGAATATGATGAAAAGATAAATCTCCAAAGAGAAAATACATGCAACAAGTACACAGAAATGTTTGTTCTCACTGATATTTGTAAGGGAAATAAAACCAGAGCTGAAAAAATACTCAAGACAGCCAGGAGGATTATAAATTGGGAAAACTTTTCTGGAAACTGTCTTAGCAAATTACCAAAGCTTATATTGAACCAGTTAGTACTGTGTGCCCAGCACTCATTAAAGCATCTTATATGCATTAGCTAGTAGAATATGTATAGTAACTATACATAGCCTTGAACCCAGTAAGTTCATTTTAATACTTCAACTATGAAGAAGTTAGGTACTGGTCCAGCAATTATTTTCATTGTTTGCAGTAGGTAAAATTTCGAAGTCTTATAAATGACTAGATACAGTGAAATGGGAAAAAGAATGCATTCATAAATAAGGTATTGACTATTCATTGGGTGCTTGAATGAAGAGTTTTAATGCTATGCTTATGGTACACTGTTTTGGTAAAATAGTGCAGAGAACTGTATGAATTATAAAAGCTGTAAATTTTTATACATCACTTAAATGTTTTTGATTACCAATCCTGTTAATTTACAACTGTGCTGAAATGAAGCTGTGTTACTTTTGTTAGCAGAAGGCAACAGCGATTGCTTTTAAAAGGAACTTCTCCATTGTTTTTAAAGGAACTTCTCCAGAGTTTGTAGAATAGTGAAAGATTTATTTCTCAACACTTTTATCAATTTTTTAAGAACTTGGTCACTTTGCAGTTACTTGCCTGTTTCCCACCTTTATTGTATTCCGATGAGTACCACTTAGTTGAGACCTTCATGACTTCAAAGCAGAAGTCTTTCTGCTTCTCCTTTCCCCTTCATTTCTTGGCTGCCTTTTCCCTTGTTTTTAATCTCTCAGAACATAGCTTCTTTGTCATTTTCATGGCTACAGGCTGGAAACTCTCTTTTGTTACTGCCTCAAATCTTAGCCTCTCAGTGTGACTTTCAGTGTGTTCCATGATTAACTGGGCTCATTTTTCTTTATGTGATCTTCTTTGTTGAACACCTTTTGCTTTTGCATTCACTCAAGTCACTTCCTATAGTTCTAATTAGCTTGCTCTGGCACTAAGGTCCTCACTAAGATCCTACCCTGGTTACTGCAGCATAGGATCGACTTGGCAGTGTTTGCAGATAATTTTGATTGTCACATGGAAACCTGGGAGATGTAGAGAAATTCTGCTTAAACATCATGTAGTGTGTAAACATTTCCTCACATCAAATTATGTGTCCCAAGACAATACTGCTAAGGTAGAAAAATTCTGCTAGTCTATTAAGACATGGAAGATTGTGCTAGGAGTTCTGCAACTACTTTTTGATGTGGTATCAATATATGCACCTTGTGTCAAAGTTGTGCTAAGAGAGCACATTCAATAGGATTTCGGTATGTGTTTCTTAACTCATTTGATGTGTATAATCTCCCCCTCCCCAGGACCTGTTACTATGACTAGTGTACATCCCCCAATACGCTCACCTAGTGCCTCCAGCATTGGGAGCCGAGGAAGGTAACTGACTTAACCATGTTCTCTAGCACATAGCATTGCTCATTAGTATCTCCTGCCAGTGCTCAACACAGTTTGAAACTTAGTATATTCCGAACAACTTCCTTTTTTATTTTTAGTGCAAATTTTAATGATTATATTTTAATTTGATAGATTAAATTATAAACACAAATTTATCTTTAAAAATATTCACCTATATGTTAAATGTTTAACCTTATCATAAACAAGGGTAATAAAAGATGAAGTAGGAGTAAAAACACACTGTGCTATATAGAGACACATACTTATGTAAAAGTAAGTTTAATGTTATACCAATTTCAATATTCTCTGACTTTTCTACTTTAAGAAAACTAAATATGCACTGGTCAGTTCTGTTTTAAGTTACTGTGTTAGTCTTGCCCTCACACCTGGAGTTAGTCCGCGGAGGTGAACCTGATTCTATCGTAAACAGTGTGGAAACGTTCTCAGGGAGAACATGTTTGCCTTTAATGCCATTAGAATAGTGGCTCTTTGTAAAAAAAAAAAGGGGGGGGGTTTGCCCCACTGCCTTCTTGAGGTAGCAGAACATCAGTAAATACTTGTATAGTTTGTGGTCTTCACACTTTAGCAGTAAATGATTGGTGTGAGCTTAGAACTGTCATTCTTGCTACATGAAAAATTGGATGTTAGTTCCACGATAGCATATGTGTTTGCCTAATATAAAGCTCAGAATGTTAGAATCAGTCCTTTAAGTTTAGTGTTGACTTTTGTTTATTTAAGCATCTTTCCAGATGTAGTATGTTGCAGGTTACATAGGTTAATACCTAAAACCTTTCTATCAGAAATGATACTTTGCATTACAACAGGTGCATTTCAGTTATGTGTCCTTTATTGCTGATGCGACAGTTGTCATGGTTGTGACAATTTTCCAGTGATTGTTGTACCTGCTTGTGAAGTTTGCAACATAACATTCTTAGACTGTTCTCTCTTTGTCTCATTATGCTTATAGCTCTGGCTCTTCCAGCAAACCAGCAGGAGCTGATTCTACACATAAAGTCCCAGTGGTCATGTTGGAGCCAATCCGAATAAAACAAGAAAACAGTGCACCACCTGAAAATTATGATTTTCCTGTTGTTATAGTGAAACAAGAATCTGATGAAGACTCTAGGCCTCAGAATGTAATTATTTAATTACTAGGAATGCTGTTTCCCTTTGGAGGAGTGAGTTGAGAAACATTTAACTAGCTCTTAGGATTTTAAAAAACACTGCAATTAAAAACTGATGAATACTCAGTACAGAAAAAAAGACAGAAAACAAGGAAGAAAATTTTGAAAAAGGCTGAAGTGAGGAAGCTAGTCTTTTTGGGTGAAAAGGTCCTGTAAGTGAATGGCCCAAGAATCTGGATTGAAAGGAGCCAGTGAGTTGACATACCAAGAGTTTAAGAAATACCTAAAACAGATCATCATGAATTCCAGAATACCAGGAGAAAAGGCCAATCCTAAAGGGTTCTAGAGAAAAAAGCATCTTAAACAAAAGGGTTAGCATTCAAGCTCTAAACACAAATGCCAGAACCCAGAGACAATAAAGAAATATGAAATAATGTATGATTGTATGATGGAAGTCCCCGCCCCCCTTTTTAAGATATGTATTTAAAAGACCAATAGCAGGGCCCATCGCTGTGGCCTAGCAGCTAAAGTCCTTGCCTTGAACGAGCCAGGATCCCAGATGGGCGCCGGTTCTAATCCCGGCAGCTCCACTTCCCATGCAGCTCCCTGCTTGTAGCCTGGGAAGCAGTCGAGGATGGCCCAAAGCCTTGGGACCCTGCTGTGCCAGCGTGGGAGACTCAGAGGAGGTTCCGGGTTCCTGGCTTCAGAATGGCGCAGCACCAGCCGATGCAGTTGCTTGTGCAATGAATCATTGGACGGAAGATCTTCCTCTTTGTTTCCTCCTCTCTGTATATCTGACTTTGCAATAGATAAATAAATAAATGTTAAAAAAAGACCAATTGTGAAGGAAAAAGAGGAGGATAAAGATTTTCAGTGTGTTGGTTCCCTCCCGAAGTGACCTCAGCAGCTGAACTTATAATAGGAATCCTTCCTGGTCTCCCACAGGGCAGGCATGAAGGCAAACACTTGGGCCATCTTCCGTACCCTCCCAGAGTTGCATCAGGAAGAAGCAGGATGAGAAGTCTAGCTTTCACTCTGATATGGAATACTGTCATTGCAAGAAGCAGCTTAACTGAAAGCTGACCCTGGGCAAAATGTCTTTTCTGAACAGACCATTTTATCCTGGCAAATTTTTAGCATGTGTAAAGATTAAATCTTTTTCAGGCATGTGCACAAAAGCCGTAAGATTCATTCTCTAAACTGGAAGATATTTGAAAATATAAGTCACCAAAATCGGTGCACACCCAAGAAAGGAAAGTGTAAGCCTTGAGTCCTGACACAGGCACAGTGAGAAAGGCGGGCTCTAATACCCGTGTCTGCAGTACAGCCTGGCAGTACGACAGTGGACTTCTCTAGGATGTATCCACAGGGAAAGTATGGAGTATTTTCTATTCCTTGTGGAGATTGTGAAAATCATATAGATTGTTACCTGAGGGAAATATGCAAATAAAGAAATAAGGTAATTATTGATCACTATTAACAATGAAATTGTGTAGAATAGGTCTGGTCATAGTATATTTACTGATTCCACAATGAACTATATTGACCTAGACCAACACTTGAATACAGATATAATAGAGACCTGTAATGCAATCAAGATATAGCCTTAATTTTTATTTTTCAGAACCTTTAGCTAGTATAGGTAGCTACTGACCATTTCAAATAATTGCTGGCAATAAATAGACAATTCAGAAACTCAGTGCTCCCTAGATACGATTAGCAAGGTAGGAGGTGTGGGTGTGGCGGTACAGGAAGTATAAGGGGGGTTGTGTATGTTTAACGTGAGGGTGCAGAGTCAGAATGCAAAAATGTACTCTCAATACTTCCCTGGTAAGGATTATATAAAGTACGCATATATACTTCTAGTTAGAATATATAGCACTGCTATGCAACTTACATATGGGAAGTAAAAAATCCAAGAAATTGCAGTATAAGCATTTCATTTAGAAATGGAGTTCTGTAACTTAAGGAAAAGATAGATTTGAATTCAGTTGTCTCCAAGGAGTGAGTGTTTTTGACTGTTTACATCTATGTGGAAAATATTTTTTAAAATGTTTTGAGGAGACAATTTTTGTTACTGGTTTGGGATTTTTCACCGCCCTAGTCCTTTACATAAAGACTCGAGTAGAATTTTTGCGTCTTACATGTGGTTAGGGTTAACATGCACTTCATGTAGTTGATGTCCACATTACCTACGCAATCTTTGAGAGCTATCCCAAGACTCAGATTTTTTTTCCTGTTACCAGCACCTCTTGCTACTGATTACCTGTTATAATGTTTTTTTGTAGAAGGTCTAGGTCTTCCGTTAGAAAGTATAAAACGATTAGCCGTAAGCATATCTTGTTCCCATACATTTTCAGATCCCTTGAAGTAACCAAATATACATGAGACGGGTGTGCAGTCCATAATTATAGAAGGGCTAATTAAAAACGCCAGTTTAAAACCAGGTACACATACTGTTTTCCTCTTCACATTGCAGACCAATTATCCTAGAAGCATCCTCACTTCCCTGCTGTTACATAGTGGCCAGCGGTCTGCTTCTGAAGAGACTGTGGTAAGATCTGATGCGCCTGATAGCACAGGAGATCAGCCTGGATTGCACCTGGAGAATTCCTCCAGTGGAAAGTCTGAGTGGCTGGATGCCTCCCAGAAGTCTCCTCTTCTTGTTGGAGAGACGAGGAAAGAGGACGATCCCAACGAGGACTGGTGTGCAGTGTGTCAGAACGGAGGGGAGCTCTTATGTTGCGACAAGTGTCCCAAAGTATTCCATCTCTCTTGTCACGTGCCCACACTGACAAATTTCCCAAGGTAATATTCGTTACATTTCCATTTTATAAATAACATCAGAAATAAGCTTTTGGACATCAGTGTAACATAAAGCCTTTATAAATAATTGTACTTGCAACAAATGTGCAATCCCAAATGCCAAACAGTAACCAAGAGTTTCTTGAAACTCATCTTCTTCCCTGTGTATCTCTCAGAAATGTGGGCTGTAGCAGGAAGAAGAGGAAAAAAAAAACTAACAGGCCCTTTAAATTAATACAAGGGGAGCCAGCTTGGTGGCACAGCAGTTAGCTCGTGACACTAAATGTCCATATTTGCCCCACTTGCAGTCTGTCTTCTTCCCAATCTGCTTGGGAAGGCAGCAGATGATTTTCGAAGTGGTTGGAATGCTACAAGATCCAGAGTTCCTGACTCCCAATTTGAGCCTGGCCCAGAACTGGCCTTGGCAGCCATTTTGGGAGAGAACCAGCAGATTAAAAATAAACTACCACAAGGCATTGCATTGAGTAACATCAATTTTTTTTTTAAGTTTTTATTTTTTTGTTAAATGATTACATAGTGGATCACGGTGGGAAGGTTAGGGAAAAGTGGGTGTGATTATTATTTCCAGGTTCCTGTTTTTTTCTTCTTGTTTTGGGAAGGGGAGGGGAGATAAGGAAAGACGGCACAGCCAGCCTCCCAACCGCCCGGTACATGAGGTTGGGGAATGGCCACCCAGGATCAACCCAAGGTCCTGATGTGGCACATGCTCTTCAAGGATTCAATACTTCTGAAATGCTCTTGATCTCATTGATCCAAGCATGAGGAAATCCTTCCAAGGTCCTTTGGCTTACTTTGGTAAGAGAAAGGCTAATTCCAGCTCATCTGAGTCCTAGATTGGTATGTGCAGTTGGTTTTCCAGACAATGTCCTTAACCACTTAGGCCCGCCCACGTGTTTTCGCTTCTCAGCATAGAGCTGTGTATCAGTACATATTTGGTAAACTCAATGATTAAGGTTTATGCTAAATGGATAATTCTGTATCTTGGATCTCCCTACAGTGGAGAGTGGATTTGTACTTTTTGCCGAGACTTATCTAAACCAGAAGTTGAATATGATTGTGATGCTCACGGGCACAGCTCAGAAAAAAGGAAAGCCGAAAGCCTCACTAAGTTAACACCAGTAGATAAGAGGGTAAGTCTTTGAGGTTTTCACCCCTGTGTTTCAGTTTTTTTTACTAGATGTAGTCCATTTTAAGCTGAGAGGTGTTTTCCTTTTTAAAACTGAACACACCAGAACATGTATTTATGTAGCCTGCCTGGGGTAGTGTAGTCTTTCACTTAATTTTTATGTAGTCTTCACTTAATTTGTTTTCCACCACAGAAATATTTACTTCCCCTGGATTTGCTAAGCATTGGTACCCATGAGATAGGTTTCATTATTCACTCTTCCTGGAAATGATTCCATTCTTCAACTATGTATTACTAAGTTTGTCTAGCAAAGTCTGCAAAGGGATTTAATTAACACTGCAAGCTACTAAGTTGGCACTTTGCATTACTAAAGAGCAGTCAGTGAATGTTGCCTTCCAGGAGGGGGCACCAGTACACCCTGCATCACCCACAAGGCTTCCTGCTGTTACCCCAAGGGAATAAGTAGCAGGGCACATGCTGCCATCAGGCAGAGGCTGGAAGCAACCAGTCTGGTTTTGTTTTTCAAATAAATCGCCGAACTGCACACAACCAGAAGTGATAAATGGCAATTTGTTGCTAAAGGATTTTAAATAGATTTCTAGCAATACTGTTTTTACCAATTTATTTGCAAAAATTACTTTTTTTTTTTTTTTTTTTTTTTTTTTTTTTTTAGATTTATTTTTATTATTTTTTTTATTGGAAAGGCGGATATACAGAGAGGAGAGACAGAGAGGAAGATCTTCCGTCCGATGATTCACTCCCCAAGTGAGCCGCAACGGGCCGATACTATGCCGATCCGAAGCCAGGAGCCTCTTCCGGGTCTCCCACGCGGGTGCAGGGTCCCAAAGCTTTGGGCTGTCCTCGACTGCTTTCCCAGGCCACAGGCAGGGAGCTGGAAGGGAAGCGGGGCTGCCGGGATTAGAACCGGCGCCCATATGGGATCCCGGGCGTGCAAGGCGAGGACTTAACCACTTGCGCCACCGTGCCGGGCCCCTGCAAAAATTACTTTAAGCTATGTTGCCAGATAGTACAGTTCAGGTAATAAATGAGAAGTAGCGTAAGAAAACTCTAGATTCAGTATTTGTCTTTTATTCATTTATTTTTAAAATCCTTATTCTGGTACTTTGAGGTCTATAAGTTTAGTAATTGAAAATAAGCTGTAACTTCATTTTGAATTTTTTCTATTTATTTTTGCTTAGAAGTGTGAACGTCTACTTTTATTTCTTTACTGCCATGAAATGAGTCTCGCTTTTCAAGATCCTGTTCCTCTAACAGTAAGTAGTAGTGTCATTTAGTGTCATTTTGTGTTTTCACAGTGATTTTTTCTAAATTCTTAATTATAAAACTAGTTTCTGTACCATTTCTCAGTAATTTTTTTCTATCTAATGCAATTTTTGTTAAATTTATTTTTATTGGAAAGACAGACTTATAGAGGAGAAAATTTTCCATCTGATCTGAAGCCAGGAGCCATGAGTCTCACCTTATCTAGGTCCTTCTCAAGGGTGTAAAGTCCCAAGGCTTTGGGCCATCCTTGAGTGCTTTCCCAGGCCACAAGCAAGCAGCTGGATGGGAAGTGGAGCAGCCAGGAGACAAACCAGCATTCACATTGGATGCTGGTGCTGGCAAGCTGGGGATATACTACTGAGTCCTCATGCCAGTCCTTAAGTATATTGTACATATTAAACTGTTTAATACATATTTGTTTATACACATTCATTAATACATATTGAACTTTAAGCCTCTCTTCCAAATTTTCTGTGCATTTTGATGTGAAAGTCCATGTTTTAGTTAATAAGTGATTTTATAGTGTTCAGTAGCTTCCAACAGTTCCATATTGAATGTTTTATATTGCTTGCATTATTATGAAGTGCTGGAAACATTTGCATGCTGTCCAAATATATTTTGGTCTCAGTACTTTGATGTCTGAAATGATCTAAAAATGGTATATAATAAATTTTTTTCACAACTTGATAAAGTTTAAACACAAACTTGCAAATATATTCAGGTATTCACACAACCTAAAGATCAACCTCTTTTGGGAGGAAAAGGACCTTTGCAGCTCAAAGAGGCAGAATCAGATGAAAGAAACTTGCAACATCTGTACCAGCAATATCTAGGTTATACAAGTATAATCTAGAATTGGCATTTTTCTCTGATCTTGGCTTACTGTTAACCCATGTTATTAAAATTGGAATTTACAAACTCAAGTTGCCAGTAGTATCTCTATTTGGAATAATGAAGAGAATAACTAACTAACACAGTATATGCTGCTGAGCACTAGAACTAAGTCTTGAATTGAAAGCAGTTGCTTACCACTTATACTACATGTAGTAAAGGCATGCCAAAACGCACTGTGGTGATTTGCTTGTGATTCGTAATGTAAGTGAGAATACTTCTCATAAAAAGTAATTGAAGAGTATCTGTGTTGTAAGTGGTGAGCCATCACTTGCATCTTCTGTGCGCCCTCTGAATTCAAGCTACACTTGGAATTCCAGCAAGTGCACACCCCAGCTCATAGCAGTGATGACTCAAGTAATTGGGCCCCTGCTATTCATTTGGAAAACAGGAATTGAGTTCCTGACTTTTGGCCATCGCAGGCATTTGGGGAAAAAAAGAGGTTTGTTTATATCTCCTCATCTCAAATAAAGAAAAGATTTGTTAAAAATTACTGGGAGTAGTTACAAAAAATTATTCATGTCTGGGAGGTAGAAGGCACTTTAAACGTTGCTGAATTTAAGTTTCCTTAAGGTGGAAAAACACTACACCAAAAAAAAACAGTAATAGTCCTAGGGAATTTATTTAGCAACGAGTGGAATTGAATTATTTGTATAATAACTCATCATCTATTTTGAAAGGTTCCCGATTATTATAAAATAATTAAAAATCCCATGGACTTGTCAACCATTAAGAAAAGACTGCAAGACGATTACTCCGTGTATACAAAGCCTGAAGATTTTGTTGCGGATTTTAGGCTTATCTTTCAAAACTGTGCTGAATTCAATGAGGTAAGATGAGCAAAACAAAGCAGTAACAATGTGAGAATTAGTACTGAATGAAGAAGCCGATATGCGTTAAAATGAATTTAGTGTTGTAAGTCTGGCGATGAAAGAATTAAAACTTTGTGCACATTTATGATCCAAGATTTGTCATGTGAAGTAGAAATGTGAATTGCTGGTAAAAGATAATTCATAAATAATTTTTACGATACCTGGGATCATTTTCACCCATTCTCAATTATTTCTTAAAATACAGCATTAGCAGATTTTGTATTCCTTTTTCATGTTGATTGACAAGTACTGTCAGTCTGTCTCACCCTTTGTCAGACTCACTGCATTGGATTATTAGCTTGTATTCTATGTCACACATCACAGAGTGCAGCTTTTTCCATTGGACGCTCCATGTTTTCCTGTTTGGGAGCATGTCACTAATCTTTCACAATTTAGTCCTTCCATTGCCCTTCCCTTTTACAATAATCCAGATATGCAGGCCTGATTGACTTTTTAGCAGACTTTGTCTAACCCCAGAGTAGTATGCAGAAGCATTTGCCATAAATTCAAGTGGGTAACCCTGCTAGTTATTTGTTATTGACTGCCTAAAATGTCAGTCTTTATTTTTTAATTTGTTTTTATTCCAACAGCCTGATTCAGAAGTAGCTAATGCTGGTATAAAACTTGAAAACTATTTTGAAGAACTTCTAAAGAACCTTTATCCAGAAAAAAGATTTCCTAAACTAGAATTCGGGAATGAATTCGAAGATAATAAATTTAGCGATGATTCAGATGATGACTTTGTACAGCCCCGGAAGAAACGCCTGAAAAGCATCGAGGAACGTCAGTTGCTTAAATAAGCAGCACCGCTGGCGTGTGGCTGGTACTTAGATTGGTTTTCCCAAACAGCTGTCAATCATTTAACAACAGTACCAAGAAGAATTTGTGACCTCTCTGATCTCGTTTTTCATGTTTGCTGGACTTTGATTTCCTTAATAACCCCTTCTCTTAACTTCTTATTAAGGAACAAATGCAGGAAATGGACACAAAGGAAGGAGGGGAGATAGTAGCAAGGAAGACTCACCAACATAAAAGACATTCCTCCTGCTCCCTGAATTTAAAAACCAGTCTGGAGTGAGTAGCTACTAAAGAAGGAAAATAGACTTTGTATGGACCCTTTGTTGAGAATTTGATGTGGTTTGAATGTGTGTTGATCCATGTTTAGAAAATTCAATACCACTGCCCATTAATTATGGCCCAAGCAAATGAGTTAAATATACTCTACTTGAGAGCAACACATGAACATGTGTAATGGTGAGTTCTATCCAGAGTGGTGACTGGTACAACAGAAGGGTAGGTTAGATGCTATTAAGATGGCACCTAATTGTATATCATGTATGGTGGCAACTGTATTAAAAAAAAATCAGGAAAGCCAATGTTTGATTTTTGTTTTTATCTTGTCTGTAGAAGTGTTTGTTATAGCAGATTTTCAAGTGCTTTTTAGAAGCAAATCTAGATTTTCTTTATCTTCTTCCATTGAGGGAAGTTATGTGTGCACATGTTTGATTTAGCTGTGTTGTCTGTGTGTGATTTGTTTGTGTTAGCTGTGCAGGTGTGATATTTTTAAAAGAAGCCTCATTGTTGAAAGTTTGGCTTTTAGTAAAATTTCCCAAGTGTGCACCATTTTTTGATGTGAAATTTCATTGGGATATATCCTACTGGGCATTAAATATAAGTTTCCCTGAGGGGGGGCTAGTTCTTGTGGTTTTCATCTGTCTTGATATTTGGAATGAAAATGTACTGTAGGATTTGGGAGCAGGCACCTGGGGGAAGTTATAATGATGTCATTTTTTCCCCTGAGGTCTTTTTACATCCCCTATACCCTTCTTCCCCCACCCCCCCCACCCCTTGTTGTGTTGCATTTTGTTTCTTTTTGATTTTACTCTTTGAGCATCAAAGTTTAAACTTGACTTAATTTTGCATTTAATTATGGTCTTATACAAAATCCTATCTGTTAACAGCAAATTCTTTGGGCCAAGCTCAGCTGGTTTGACATTTGTTTCTTCTGCAAATTGTTTTGTAGGATCTGATGAGCTGTCAAAGGAGAAACTAAATTACAACAGAACTGTCCATATTCAAAGTTTGGCAAAATACACATGAATATTTTTAGTTGGCGAAAGTACACATTTAGTAATGATTTTTTGCAACTAATATTTGGGGGAACTGTTTCTTTAGGATGATTGAGTCCAAATGCAGCTGACTTGAAAGAGTGTTGTGAATTTTATCACCTTCCGTGAATGAAACACAGAGGACTTGCTTTTATCCAAATGGCATTACTTCTGGAAATGAACATATTTTGTGGGTAATTCATTGAGTTTTCACATATTGCTAAAGATAAATAAAATAACTTACTAGCAATACTTCTATGTCATACAGTTTCTATGTAACCGTGGATCTTGTTCATGTCAATTATGTGTGAATTGTTAAAGGCTTACTCGGTTTTTCCAGATGTGTTGCACTGTGATGACTACTGTTTTGAATATGTAGCTTGACTTCCCATTCTCCAAAGACAATTTGAACAAATAGTTTTACAGCATTTCAATACAGCAGCCATGCTGCTTCTGCTAGCTTCTTTATTGTTAGCATCATGAAATAGTGTTGTTTTTTTCTGTTTATTTTTTTTATTATATTTTGACAATCTTTACATAGTTAATTAGGGTAGGAAGGTTCAAGGGCTACAGGAAAGTGGGTAAGACTATTATTTGTTTCCAGATTGTTTCCTTCATGTTTAATGGGGGGTATTAAGGGAGAAGGCCCACCCAATTTCCCACCCTCCCCAGGTCCCGGATGTAGGGTATGCTCTGAGGTTCTTGCTTGAGTGGTTTTGATAGTTCAACAGTTACGAATCACTGCCAATCTTGCCACTCCAAGCACTGTGAGGTCTTGGCAGAATCCACTGATTGACATAGTGCATCATAGAGTCATGAAAGAAGCCTAACTATGCCATGCTGAGAGAGGATGCCCTAAAACCCGGGATCATTCAAGCAGGCTTCAGCTCAGCTCACATAGATTGATAATTCTGACCAAAAACTTTGGGGACTTCTGTCTGGATTTGGGGCTGAGGACTGGTCTAATAGCTACACAATTCCATTACTGAGAAATCACTTTTGGTAACTGTCTTAGAGTGAGGAGACCATGTGACAGAAGTTGGTGTTTCCTTAATTTTAACTCGACCATTTTCCCAGATGCCAAGCATGTGAATCTTTCTGACAATAAGGAACACAAGGACACCATAATAACAAAGGCAAGTGTAGTTTTACATCAGCATCTGGCCATGGAGTTGTTGTTGCTGGGTCTGTCACTGAAAGTGCTGGACCCGGAGAGTCTTCTCTTCCCAAGATTTTTTTTCCCCCCTGCTGAGAAAAAACAGGCTTTGCAGTTGACAACTGTACAGATCGAGGAAGGTGAGTCTGTCTGCAAACATTTGCTTCATTTAGAAATTCACATTTTAAGGTCCTGTGCTGTGGCTGTGCTTTGAATTTAGAGAGATAAGGAAAGAGGAACTTCTGCTTGAGACCTGATCCAAATTTTGGATGAAGAAAGTAAACCACATCATATGAGTAAGATTCTCAAGTTTAAAGTACATTTTCTGTTTGTAATTGCTATAAAGGAAATTGGGTGATCTAATTGGCCATTATCCAGACATGATCATGAGTTCAGTTCTCTAATTTATGAAATTGAGCTCATATTTTAAGTCTTTCATTGCCCTTTGTAAACTGGTGGTTTTTATAAATATCTAAGAAGAAGGTACAATAAGTCACAATGCCATGTTGGGGACTCCTAGCCGGTTTGATCACAAATCCCAGCGTCCATGAAGCTTTAACTTACTGTGGAGGACATGTGAGGCTACCGGCTATTAGCTTCTACTAATTTGGAGGTCAGAGTGGTGATTTTGATTTTAATAAGTGTTAAATGTGAATTTATACTTGAAATAGCATAAGAATTTCAGTAATTTTGGCATAGTGTTGTGGTTTGAAACTAATTTCCCTTTATTACCTCTGTGTTCCTTTGCCTATGATTTTGATACATAAAGGGAGGCTCTGATAAGTATATTAGCAAAATTTCTTTATTCCAACATAGGTATTTCATGAGCCTGAAAAGCAGCAAATAAGCAAGTGGGAATAAATATCTGCATTAATTTAGGATTTTTTCGTGGAAGGATACCATGAAAAGCTCGGTCTCCACTTTAATTTTGTTCTATTAGTTTTGACATAGAATTATCCTAAAATCTTAGCAAAATCGGGTCTCCCAACATTTTCAAATGTGCTGTGGAAGAAAGACTATTATAACATTCTCTTCCATGTTTTCAGAAAACTTGTATGTATTTTTTTGCCCATGTTTTACTGCCTTTAACTTAGCCAGGAAACTGCAGCCAGGAGTCTTTCCATTGCAAAATCTCTTACGACAGTGGCAATATATGGAGAGCATGGAGTATACAGATCAAAGGTAAATATTTCTTACCCTTGGCATGAGACTTGAAGTGGGATTGACCAGAACAAAATCAGGATGTTGCAGGACAGGCTTCCATCGTGATGTTCACTATGCAATCATAGGCATTTCACTAGCAACAATGACAAGGAGGTCTGGTATACAAAAAGTTCCAAATAGATGCTTTGGCTGTTGTATAGACTAGATAGAGATGTCAGAACATTAATCTATTGTACAAAGCAAAATGTAGTTGTACAGATATTCCAGTTCCATAATCCTTTTTATTAAATTATGTCTTGACCTTTTAATGATCTGGGAAGACACCCCAAAAAGCTTACAGGTAAGTTACTGCAAAGCTTTGCCTTATTTCTGTTCATGTGTTTTGCTAACCCTACTTAAGAGTGTTAAGGGTTTCTCCAATTTAGTATGAATGGTTTTCTATAGGCTGGTATCTGGTTGAAGCCTGGGTTTCAAGCAGGGTTGTCAAAATCTTAAGACCTCCAAAATGTGGAAATATGCTTGAGCATCACCTTTGATTAACTCACTCAGTAAATTATAAATTACTATTAAGCTGAGGGTTGAGATTTTCAATTAAAATTTGTAGTTGGTTGGTCTCTAACCCTACAAATGTAATAGACTTCTTAGCATCTGAAATTTTTTTCTAAAACTGAAGAATTATTGATTTATATGTTCTATAACTTACATACAGCCTGAAAACCAGGTGATGTCTAAAGGTACATGTAGCTCACAGACCTTAAAAAAAAAGCCTAGTCAACCAACTACAAGTTCTTGTTTGGGTTCTGAAGAAGAAAACATAAAGTAAATGTGTTTCATCTATGATTTAGTGGGTAAGGGATGGTGATCAAGGGAAGAAAAGCTATCTTTAGTCCATTTCTCCCATTCATACTCCTTTCCAATTATTTTAAGATGCCGGGGCTAGATATTTGCTTCTGACACCTGCCAAGGCAGACCCTAGCAGCTAGTGGTAAGAACAGTGATGTGAGGTGGCACCAACTGGGAGGCCTGGATATGTTGCTTTGACCTGACCCCAGCCTTTATAATCATCTGGGGAGTCGAGCAGAAGAGAGTGAGTCCAGGTTCTTTTTGCTTTATATTAAGTAAGAACAATACACAAATGCCCAGTTAATCCATAATCATTTATTCCAAAAGTAGCATACAGAAGTAGAATGTTAAGATAAACAAGTCTGTTGAAAAAATGGGGGGGGGGACTTTTTCTTCACAGCAGTACAGGTCTTCATTTGATTTGCTGAGCAAAGAAACAATTGAATCAATATTTTTAGAAAGCATTTGGCATTCATACTCACATAAGGCAGTAGCAGAAAATTAACATCCAACAATTAGTTACAAGTTGTATTAAATAATGTTTGTGAACCTGAAAATGGGATAAGTAAGTATTCTGCTTCAACATAGACGGCATTAGAAAAAATTATACTTGTACCACTGTTTTGGTTCAAAAAATATAGTTGGCACTATTGTATCATCAGATCAGTTCATTAAGTAAATTTGTGGGGAGGTTGTCTGCACATGTGCTAAAAGGTCAGTTACTTTTGGGCCTATTCTTGGACACATCCCTAGGTTTATCAGATGGTTTCATGTGGTCAGTAGGACTGTTTCAAGGGATATATGTCCATAACTTAAACATGTAGGTTTAATATTTAGGACCACTATCAACTCTACAAAATCATTCAACCTATATCTACAGGAGCCCTTACAGGTAAATATTGCTTGTCATGCAGATTATAAAAAGAATCTTGACTAAGTTTAGCTATTGTATATACAGAAGTTGCATAACATGAGCAGTATAAAGGAAGCACATGCCTCATCTGTGTCTGGTCTCATTCACTGATGCGTCAGTTTTCTAAGCAAGGAAACTAAATGAAGCCCTAAGGTCATTATTGCATGATGAGTCTAATATGTGATAATTCATATAACTTAAACTAGAGAAAATACAGTGAGGCAGGTATAAGCCATCTCTTTACTCACTGGAGGCATCCTGTGTGCACTCTGAAAGGGGCCTGCTGCCTCTCCCTTGATGTCACTGACTCCACTGCATCCTATTCAGCAACTAGAGCTCAGGAGCAAGCATCCAGTCTAAGCTCCAATGATTCTCACCATCATTTTATACATTTGCTTCATTTGTGCTACAGACGGGAAAACATCAGAACGCTGGATCACAGAGTCCGACCACCCAGGAGGTATAGTGTTAGGATTCCCTCTTTGTGTATGTGAGCAGTCTGTGTGTATTGGTTGGCAACGAGTGCATGCTGAATACATTTCTTAACGGAGGTACTGTATTAAAGGAACCTGGACCAAGTAATGGCCCTCTCAGCTCCTCCCAAAGTCCTCTATCTAAACAGGAGGGGGCTGAGATGTTGCCACTGCTTCTGAGTATAGCTTCTGTTGTAACGGGTTTGAAGTAAACCATTTTGGTGCCCTCAATTCTACATGAGAAGAATTGAGTTCAGATAGTAGTTGAAACCCACTAAACATTTCATCACCAAAAACTTGGATCTCCATAGACCAAGTTCTGTGTTTTTTGAGAAAAGGGTAGTTAAGACTGATCACCGAATTACTTACCTGCAGGGCCCGCCCCTTGGTCTCAATGGGGAGTGTAAATGCAGAAATGGCACACAGCACACAGACAGATGAAAAAAGACACAGGGCTCCCAAAAATGATGCACTCATTAGAACCTGCAAGTCACAAGAAAGGGACTGTTACTCAAAGGGTGCTTAGATGGGGGTGGGAGACATTTTCTGTACTGAATTTGTATAGAATTTCAGAAATAACTAAGTGGGTAGCGCCTTGGTGCTGCATGTTAAGGAACCAGCAGAAGTGCTGGCAGTCTATATTGCGCAGTTTGGTCCAACATCCTGCTAACGCACCTGGAAAAGCAACAAAGATAGCTAAG